ATTTTTTATCCTGGGTTATTTTTTTTTCCATTAGTAAAAAACTTTGGCAACATTGTTTTTTTTATTTTTTCTGAACTCTAAAGGAAATTAAAATGGATACATGTGTAAAAGAGCATTAACATTAATTGAGAAAAATGGCATTGTAAACAAATAACACATTTTTAAATTTGAATTATCCCCAGTGGGAATCCCTCCAGTTTGTAAAATTGTGCTTGTTTTGTGAACTTAATTAGATGCATAAGTAATAAACTTTAATTATACGCTGCACATACAGAAACAAAAAAAAAACATTCATTTGGTTGTAAATATAAGCTCTGTAATACATTTTAACAAAACCACAACAACATTGGTTGAGATTAAACTATTAACCACCCATTTTGCAGCAAATCACAACTGGAAACTGTGTTTTTATTTTTTAATTTTTTTTTTTTACCCTGATTTGTTTTTAAAGCATTTTGCATATTAAAGGAGATGAAAGGCTTCTCTAACAAAACACAGAGGCTTTTAACTCATTTTATTAAAATTAGAAAGTGCATAACAGCCAACAGTGCATTATCATAATTACATTCCCTTTGCAAAAACGCAGTAATAAGCAAAATATGAAATAAAGTGGCGATCAATTAATGTCATCAGCAAAGTTTTGGAAATGGCAAGTCAAGCTTTCGTTCAAACTTATCCACAAAAGACAAAACACATTTTCCCCCATGCCATGAACCCTTAAACCGCTCCAAGACCCTCACTTTCAGGCCTCATTTTGCAGTCCTCTCCATGTTCTGGCTCTTAACATCCTGCTGATGGAGGGAATGCGATCCAGGCCTGACTGTGAGCAGGCTGGCCACTCAACCAGGACTGATAATTCATACCCACTGCTGCACCTCCCAGGAGTGGCTCAGTGCCGGCATTAACCTCAACATTTCACTTCTGAGCTCAATCTCCTGTGACTCCGTGGAGGAAGGGGTTTTATATGATGTTTGATATGGTTGTAAACAAAGATGACAAATTGATGTGTCGCTCACAAATCTGAAAGCTATAAATCTTTGAGAAGGCTGAAAGATTTGGAGAATGACCGCTCTATATTCCATCAAGATCTTTAGAAGTTTTCAGATAGCGCTCAAAGTGCAAAAAAAATAAATAAATAAAATAAAAATGAAAAGAAAATTAAGCATGATGTTTCACACGGAATGGCGACGAATAAAGCATCCATCTGGCATGATTCTGTGAAGAGATATCGCTACGTGTGAGTTTTCATCTTTCACTCCCAACAAGTTCTGAAAAAGACAGAGTAAATTTTTGATCCAGCACCTCGACGTATGACGTCACCTTCACTCGTCGAGCAGAACAAAGAATCGGCCAGTTCTTTAGATTTAGTACAAGGCAAATGTGATTCTTTCGCTCAGTGTCCAACAGATATTGTGCAAGATAAATCAATTAATTTTCTGCATGTTAGTGTTATATTTCAAAGTGATGAATAATCAACGCTTTATAGGCTCCTGGCATTTAAAATAACGGTTAAAAATAACACGAGTCTTAATTCTTATCGAAAAGATGTTTTGTGTTGTTCAAACTAGTCTGAATTGTTAACTATGTCTTATTTACTAAAAGAAAGAGGATTTTAGATGCAGAATTGTACAATATGTCATAAATGTGAAGTTATTTACCTTCTGGCTTTATTAGCAATAAAAACACTGGTCAGATTGTTTGTGGCCTGTCAAGAGCAACTTAAGTCAATTCTGATTTCTGTTTATGAGTGATACAAATCTTTCCAAATATTTCTTCTAGCCTTGCATGGTCATAAATCATATATATTACCACCAAGTTTGTGAGTGAGTATTTGCTTTAAAACAGGGTTTAAGATCCTTTTAGGCTAAACCAAAAGCTAAGCTCAGTTAAGCTCAGTTTAGCTCAATAACTCAATTACTGAGTTACTGAGTTACATAAATACAGATAAATATCTGTATTTATGTAAATTCTGTTTAAAATGTAGATTATATTTGTTTTGTTTTTATAAGGATAAAACAGCAACAATACTGTAGCATACATAGCAAGAGTGACACTCTCAAACTTTGTCATTGCGAGTTAGAATAAGAAAGTTCCCTCTTAAAAGTATATTATTCTGTTACTCCCCTAATTTTGTATATATTGTAAAGAGCTAATGTTATTTCAGTAACAACTTTTTCTGAAGTAGAGCAACATACTAGCGGTCAGAATGGTGCATTTACTGACTGGAGAAGGAAATGATTTTTGGGTTTCAATCTGCCCAATTTCCACTTGGCCTAAAATCACCTAATTCCCATCAATTGCCTAAATCACTAAACCACATATGGCAGTTGTGATATATTTATCATTGGAGGTGTGGCTAAAAGTGGTTGACAAATTATTTATTTATTTTAAGTGTAATCGTTTCTTATCATATGTTGTACTGATGTTGGCGCCAGATGACTCATCCAAACAATATATTTGATCTGAAATGCTATTTTTGTGTATCTGTCGACAGAACTTTGGATGTTTAAAACTTTTGTGATTTAAAATTAACATGGGAGATTAATATCAGACACAGGCATAGGATTTGGTTAAAGCGGGTAATATGTAAAAACTGAGTTTTGATTTATGTTTGAACTAGGTTGGTATAATGACAGCTAAGCAGCCAAAGCCTCTGCTTCTGTGCAGTGAAGAGGAGAGAGAAAAAAGGAGCTAATCAGAATGATCACAGGGTAGCTTTGTAATTATTTACTCCATTAGCCACTAGTGGTCGACACGAAGTGCACTGACTCGCAAAATTAGAATCCTTATCTGAACGGTCCAGAACCTTCACTGTATTCTGAAGGGATGTGTAAATGCAACGGGATGCACCCTAAACCTGGAAGCACCGTGTATGCAAGGACATTCTGAGGACATGCCAGTGCAGTATATGTGACACCAGCATGGTCCCTGTCGGCGTTCAGGGCCACAGCGAAACTGAAACTTTGCGAGGTTCTTTACTGAAAGCTGAAACCAGGATGGAGATCATGCTAAGTGAATTGAACATTTTGCTTTTGAGTGTACTAACAATCCTCGTCATTATGCCGTCATGAGGAACAGATTGCCCGAGTGCTCTTTGCAGCAGAGGTCAGAATAATTTATCACAGATTTCCCTTTCTTTTCAGTCGTGGATCTCCTGAATACCAAATATTGTAGGTGGGGTTTTTACATTTCTTCTTTTAGAAAGAAATGAACAGTAACTTAGCAACCTTACCTCAAACTTACTTTAATTTAACTTCCACTCATCATAGTCTTAGCTTTATCCTGCCTGCATTTGGGTCCAATATTACCACAAAACCTAACAGAGGATCCACATCTTAGAAAAGCAGCATGTCATTTGTGCCTTTCCAAGAACAAATATGGCTTTAATATGAGTCCTGATTTTAGACTTTAGAAAGTCCTTTCTTCTTCTCTCAGAAGAAAATAAGGCTGAAATTGTGACCAGTTTTCAGAGACAGTTTGCAAAATGTTCTGTTTTGTTTTTAGAGGCTGGAGGTATACATCCCACATGCTGTGCATGATTTATCTCCTGTTGGAGTAGAGCACAAATTAAATTACTTCTTACAACATTTCAGATTTAATTGCTAAAAACAGGCACAAACTAATTTGGAGGAAAGATGGGAGTGGGGTGTGTTTTCTATTTGAACCAACAAAAAACTCCAGTTTTTCTGTATGAATGTTCACGCAGCTCTTTGTGCCATAGAAGCCAACAGAAGGGAAATATGTCCTAAGGGACAACAGAGACATAAGGACCTTGTAGAAAACTTGCACTTTGTGTGCCTTCTTTTCTCTCTGCAGCCCGAGGAAACAAGGACCTCATAGACTCAAATTCTCTGGTGCAGCTGACGCGGGATAGTGCAATCTTGTGCAACTGCTGTACTTTATTACAGCATACATTAGGTTTCTTATGTGGCTGACTTTAAACTCATACTAACCAGACAAGTGGGATTTTGAAAGTTTACTTCAAAGGTCAGAATATTTAAATGTCTTATAATGAGAGGACGAAGAGACGAATCAGGATTTGTCCCAACAACAATAAAACTGTTTGTGGCGGGACTCTGTTGTGATGCGGATAAAAACAATGCCATAGTTCACTTCAGATGGTGTTTCTTGTGCTCCTCTTCAGGTGAAAAAAGTTGGAGAAAATGTGCACTATGTTTACAATGGTCATCCAGGAAGATTAAAAACAGGCACACACACACACACACACACACACACACACACACACACACACACACACACACACACACACACACAGATGTTTGCGTGGCTTTCTTTGTGGGGACTTTCCATTGACTTCCATTCATTTCTACAGCCTAAACCTTACCTTTACCCTTTTCCTAGCCCTATCCATCACATACCTAACCCTAACCAAAACTCAATTCATACCTTAGCCCTAAATCTGACCCCTGACCCAAAAACAGGGTTTCCCCTTGTGGGGACCAGGCTCCGGTCCCCACGAGGAGCAATTGGTCCCCACAACGTAGTATATGTCAGGGAAATCGTCCCCATAAGGTATTACAAACAAACAAACGCACGCACACACACACAAACACAAAAACACTTCTATCATAGCAAATCAAAAGTCCATCACCTTCAGTTTGACCTGAAGTCTAAACTCAGACTGACTCCCTGTGTTGGAGAGCCTGTTTTGAGCTCCACCCAGTCACGAGAAGACAACACAAAACAAACAAACAAAAAATCCTGAACCATTTCTAACTCAAGTAAACTCTTATTAAAATACACCACACAAAATTAATAAAATAATCATAACGTTGAAAAAAAAAAGAAACTTGTGACCAAAAATATAATACTCAAATAGAAAAGAACTTAATTAATACAACGTCCTGGTGACGTCGTTACGTCGTCACGTGACTCCCTCCCGGCGCGCTATAATCCGGAAATAGCTTTGCATTAATAATGCATTAATAATGCAAATATTAATGCATTAACATGCATTAATATTTGCATTAATATTGACACCGAAAATTACACACTACGATGGTTACGACAGCTGAGGCAGGAGCACCGCGTGTTCAACCCACGACGTACCGCGCCAGTTTGTGCTGAAACCAAAAAGTAAGTTATGTCCGGTGTGTTTTCTTGTTTATTGGCACAGACTTTACAGCAGGGGTCCCCAAACTTTTTCCTGCGAGGGCCACATAGCTGTTCCTTTCTCTGGTCGGGGGCCGGTCTTAGTTTTTGGAGAAAGAAACCTTAGAAAATTCTTGTCGACGGGGGCGGGGTGGGGGGCTGTTCTGTTCTGTCTTTGAAACTGCGGGGGGGGGGGGCGACGACACATTCATGCTTTTAGATAAATTTTTTCCCAGAATGCAAATGGAAAAATCCGTGAGTGAAACGGTGACTGGGACTGACTGGTATATATTCCATTGAGGGAAAGTTAGTTTCACATCTGCTCAAGAGCCCCCCTGGTGGTTGAAGAAAAATCCACAAAAAAACCAGAAAATACAATATATGAAAAAAAAAAAAACACTGAATGCTCTCTGGTATGA